AAAAAAAATTTAAATGCGTATTTTTCTATTTACATATCTTAAAACAAATTTTTATCTTTCAATGAAGGTGCGAAACACGGAACATCCCTACGCTCAAGTAAACCCACCGTCAGCTTCAGCAGCAGCAGCCGCTGCAGCTGTGGTAGCGGCCGGCAATAGCAATAATGCTATATACAGCAGTCAACCACCACAGCTTAACGGAACACATTCTCGCAACTCAAACCACAGCAATACATCCCAAAACGAGTCTCCTTCACAAGCAGAAATTCCAGCCGCTTCGGCCATTGCAGGTATGATCTCAGCCAGTCAAGATCTTCCATATATGACACCGCCTATAACAAATCAACACTTTAGTGGCGACTCGCAGGACTCTTCAAGTAATTTGCATTTATAAATACGTATATCAAAATATGAACAACGCAATACACTTCAACATTATTTTCAGAAGGCTACACCAGCATCAGCGTGCGGGAGCCGCTTGCAAATATTCTAGCACAACAGCCGCCAAAGCCAACTCAACGGATAGCTACGCTGACTCGTGATGCAAGCGATTCGCATTATGCCACTGTATCAGACGATTCTGGTTAGATAAACTAAATCTTGCTTTTTTAATAATAATATAATCAATATTTGTTTTCTCTCTTCCTTGTTAGACGAAACATATGCAGCTATCGAGGACCCGAATATTCGCGGAAATCCAAATGTTCTCACTGACATCTATACTAGTGGTTCAGAGACGTATGCACAAATCCAACCTCTGCAAATGAGTTCAATGGTCGTATCTGTGGAAATCAATAATACAAATAACAGTAGTCACAATATCAATGCTAATACTGTTCATGCACATAACGTACAATCTGCAGAATATAAAATATCGAATACATCCACTGTATCGCACCACCATCAGCATGGAAGTCACACACAAAGGCCTATTTCTGAGCATGCCACTCCTGTACCACCACCTGTGGATAGCCTACGCACACAAAAGCACTCACGTCAGCCCTCCTCATCATCAAATAACAGTTCATTGGTTTGCAATTTAGGTTCACCAAAGCCCGAAAAACGACAAGCCAACTCTCCGTTGCCACCAACGCCCAAATCGAACATTACCTCGTGTCGTAGTTCCGTTATATCTGTGATCGAATGCGGTGGCGGTGCTGGAGACTTCAATCCAAGTGGCGTTATAACGGCCACATCGATCAATGCAGTTACCGCTGCATCAGCTACTACTAATACAGATGAAGTATCCCCTCAGAAAAATAAAAGTAAAAGCCTGAGTCCATCCAAAGATATCGAGGGCATGTATGCAAAGGTATGCGCGGAACACTAGTTATACTCATGTATAAAAAAAATGTAACTGAAATTGAAATTATAAATGTTTAATGTTTTTAGGTGATGAAAAAGAACAAGTTATCACGCCACTCACCTTCTTCACAAAACAACTCTCCCGTAATGACGCGGAAATACGGAGATCACAACGCTGCGTTAGGCATTAGCCCATTAGACATGGCTGCAGCCGAGCTAACGGAAACGAATCGCGTCAGTGTATTCAACATTTCAAATGCCACGAGCGATAAAGGGCGAATTCGTAGCAACAGCTACGGTTCCAAGGATCATGGTTATGAAACAATACCTGCCGACGCGGTCCGCCCATCAGTACTTGAAAATCGCAAATCAGATTGCTACAGCAGCTTATTGCGAAAAGAGCGACCAAAAGAAATCGGTGAGTAGGCTCCTTTGGCAAACTCGTTTTTATGCTCTATCTAGTTTATTAATTGCCTTTCTTCTGAGTATATTTTATTTACTTATTTCCTTCTCTCTCCTCCTACTCCTTCCAACTCATCTGTATGTATCTTGCAAAAATGAAATGCAAATGCTCCAAAATTCTAAATTTTTTATTCAACAAATTTGTAAAACAAACAAATCGTTTATAGTTGTGCGTAAATGAGATCTTACCGCAGTTTTGCTTTTGAGCCAACGAAAATTTCAGCATTTTTTATTTGGAAGCAGCGGTTAGTATATACATTAATGCTTTTTACTAATTCAGTGGCGTTTTACTATTTCTTATAAAAGAAAGTTTATATTAACACAAAATTTGCATGTTAATATTTTTGTTAATTACACTTTAACTGTTTATTGCACGAGAGAAAAGCAGTAATTAGGTTAATGAGATATTCGTATATAAAAACAAACTGATTAAAACAAGTAATTTTCTAGCAAAAAATAAAATCGACTTCACATCTCCTATAAAAATTTAAGATTATAGTTAATCTCTTTATGATCCAATGACGGGATTTAAACCAAGTTAGAATGGGACCACCTGGGAGGTAAACCTTTCCTTAAAAAAAAAAAACAATTATAGAAATCGGTTAACGTGGTCCAAAATTATGCGGTAACATACATAAAAAAAAAATAATAAAAATAAAATATTCCGACGAATTGATAACCTTCCTCCTGTTTGTGAAGTCGGTTAAAAAGAAAACAAATTTAGTTATTTCATAGAATTAGAAAGTGATATTATTATCTCCATTAATAACATTGTTCGATAAACTATTTTCTAGAATATGCTGCGGGAATATACATTTTTTATAAGAGAGCAAAAGTTGTTTTTTCCTCGATTTAAGCCCGTTTAGAACGGCGAACTCTTCCAATTGTAGTTCATTCCTAGAGGAACAGAACGCAGCAGAGTAGCTCAAAATTATTGTTTCTAGTCTAACTCCGGATCAAAAACCTTCTTCTGCTGTGTGTACCTTTCGATGCTCACATCTTTCCCATATGAGTACAAGCCTGTCAAACACTCGTAGAGGCATTCTATTGGTACAGCAGATAAACGATTCGACATTCTGCACCATTCACCAGGATTATAGGTACTTGCATCAGCTCGTCCTTCTCTGCGCTCCTATTAAAAAATACAGGTTTATTCATCGACGCTTTTCCTGTGTCCAGAAATTCATCAATCCAAATCATCTGTCTCTTTTATTTTTAAACTATATTTGAATGAAATGTCAAGCATGCACAACCACGGTTAAATTCCGAATGCGAACTTCTAACAATTATAATTTAGAAATAAAAGACACTGATGATTTGGCTTGATGCATTTCTGAACAGAGCCTTTGCTCGCCTGTTCGCTATATTTTTAGCTCAGCACCCCCTTCCCGATCGAAACAGCACGCATCCTAGGCTTACCCTTAATTGAGCTTGACGGCAACAATTGATAGACTACTAGAATATTTAGACTAGAATATTTAGATTTAGTAGGACCGCTACAACAACAAAAATAATATCTTAGTAGAGTTCTTTCGGGCGGTGTATTTCCAACTATGATTATTATTACTAAATAAAAGTTGTTTGCTCATGTTCCATACTCTATTCTATATTTTTATTTAGGAAAAAAACATAAAATCTTACAAAAAAATAGATTTACATAATCTGCACCTCAATTTTTATAGAATAGTGGAAGTAATATACATACTAATGGCTCCTAAACTTTGTCATTGTTGGTCTGTATTTAAAAATTATCAAAATCCTAACAGCTTACTAATGGGACATGTTCTTAAAATTTTCACATAGACTGTACGAATTATCTTGTTTGCATGCTTTTTTGCACTAACATTTTTTCCTTATATGTAAATTTATAATCTTTAACAACCCACACTTCTCCACCCACCGTCTGAAAAGGTTAAATTAATGAACTACATACAAATGAAATAAATCATTGACTTCTATAAATTTTTTTTTAGTACAAATACCTAATCCACCTGCAGCAAACGCAAAACCACCGATAAATTCAGATGTAAACAGCGACAAGCACTATGAGACTATTGCCGTGCCGCTTGACACAACGAGCAACAGCGATCCCGGCTATGAAACCCTCCAAAAGCCAAACAGACTAAATCAATCCGATCCAGATAACGAGAAGAAATCATCTGACTACGATCCCAATTACGAAGTGCTGGAACGTCCAAAATCCGCCGGCCTATCTGATGATGGCTATGCCAAAATTAATGAGAAAAAACATTTGGCCCTTGATGACGACTCTACTGATGGCTACAGCAAAGTAAAAGGCGAAGAATGCGATGATGGTGCGACTGGTGGTTACAGCACGATCGGCACGGATGCCAATCACAATTACGCCAGCATCGCTGAAACGAAAGAAGAAATGTGTGGCGTTACACCAGACACCGAAGACTCCGATCACTATGCGCGCATCGCTGAAGCACCACGAATACCACAATCAGCATCTGAGCTGCCACTCAGCGCGTTGCATACGCCAACGGGTAAGCTTGCGCTGAGCGTAAGCGTTGCTTCTGGTGTCACACAAGATACACTGGCAATTACTTCGCCTTCTTCAATTAATTCATCATCGTTGCTGGCTAATAGTTCGACACTGTCGTCAACCAATGCGTTGACCGGCAGCAGCAGCACCACTAGTACGATAAGTTCACGACAAACCCCTTCGACATCTTCGCAATATGAATCACTCACTGGCAGCGAAACAGATCCAAACTACGAATCCGTTTGTTACCCGAGCACGGGACGTGAAAATCCATACGAGAGGCTACAGACCGAATATTCTGACACACAGTTAAGCAGTAGTAGTCCAATAACGCCAGATGAGTTGCGACAACAACAGAAACACAAGCAAGGCAATGCACAAACGCACAAAACGACAACAACCGGTGGTAGCACAAGTGCTTCATCACCAGCAACGACAGTAACGAACTCTGATTCAGCAGCGGCAACTATAATAGCAGCGGTGCCGTTAAAGACCACACCAAATGGACTAATGCCAAAAGCGAGACCAGACGGAACAGCAACTAAAGTGCAAAATACCAGTGAACTGAATGCCACGGATGTGGTAGTCGATGATTACTTTCAAGTTTAGTTAAATAATTAGTATGTAGTAATTGGGCTAAGAGCACATTTTGTGGCAATTATTAGATATATCTGTATTTATTATTATATTATCTTAGTATATACAATTTTTATGCGTTACACGCATATTTAAATGTTTGGAGAATATAAGGCAGCGAAGCTGATGCTTTACGTACGTACACATATTGCACTTGCATTGCAAAAAAATTTGCAATTACCATTTCTTCATGTGTTGTTTCTTTTTTTCACATATAACTAGAAGTAGGTACATATCATTGAGTGAGATGCTAATGGAATATATTTGTTGCATGGAATATTGTATTTCAATAAAAAAAAATATGCCAAATTATTATATTTGCACCTTCAAACATAAATATACTCTATGTTTATTTCACTTTTGTTATCATTCGAAATTTATCTTTATAACTGCATGAAAACTTTAGAAGACGAAAGAAAAGCTTATGAAAGCTTATGAAAGCTATATCAGATAAGATATTAACATAAAATCTCTTAAGATCTTCTTCTAAGTCGAGCCGCAGAAGCAAAAGTATTTTTTGTGTAATTTGTTACAGCGAAAATTCATCTTTATAACGCTAAACAACTGTACTTATGTATAACTGTTACACACATTTATTAAAAAAAAAAACTGTTTTCTTAATTAATGCCGAATGCGAAGATCATAGCTAAACCATTGTTAACTTAACCACGAACAATATTTTAACTATGGGTTCATCATATTCATAGTTGCTAGATAGATTTTTAATGCTAGAAATTATACAAAGCTGAAAAATCAATACTTAATAGAAATTTAATCGGAGTTTAACTATGGGGCAAGAGGTTTAGTACCAGTGGTCGGCAAACCTCATCCCATATTACGCTTGCATGTGAAGCAGTGCTTTCCTGTCCAAGAGGGGCCTGCGAACAAAGAAACGTTACTCGCGACCCACAATGGTATTTGTCTGTCGATGCCTCCATGATAAACATCACAAAATCTTCACGGGTGGAAGGACCACATCAAACTGTACGTAAGCCCTCAATTCTAATAGGAACAACAACACAGCGAATCATATTCAGCCCATGCCGCGATAGCATTGTGCGGTGGGTTCTACGCTACCGGTTTAACTCGGAGACCTCACTCCGACCAAGCACCATCACCCCCAATGTTTTTTTCCATGGGAGCATGACCCAAAGTACTAAATGGTCAGGCCCCACAGGCACCTCAGGCACAACCATCAGCACAGCCAGCGCGTCAGTACTCACTTACCCCACACGTAACCATCATAGGGCCATAATCAATCAAGTTGTTGCAGTTGAATTGCAACGGACTTCAAATTGGTGATTGCTATAGCCCGCCAGATATTACAATAGCCAGCGGGGGTCTGATAAACTGCATTGGATGGCAACCTGTCCATAGTAGTCGCGATAGATCAGACGAGGGTTTGTTACATCCGAGAACCGCATATTCATGAATACATGGAAGGCAAACTGTGACGGTTCCACGGAATTCGCCGACCGCAAATTCAATGCTCTTCCTCTACCATCGGGCGCGCGTGTATCAGTGTGCAATATCATCAACGCAGTAGCCGCTCGCTTCATACCAGCCGGCTGGATCGCCAAAATCCGTCCAGGCTTTCCCACTGAAGCGGCGGTACTCGCAGACGTGCGTGATCGAATCCGCTAGGCTAATTCAGGTTATCCCCATATAAGAGATCTCAACATGGACATTAGAAACCTGGTTAACGAACAAAACATGGAGCGAACATATAAAGACCTGCAAACTCAAAAGTGGAGTCAGCAAACTGTGGTCCACAGTCAAGTCTCTCTCCAATCCGACGAAGCGTAAGGACAATGTCCCTCTCACCTTCGGCACCACCGCCACGTCGGATCCGCGGTCGTGCGCGCGCTTATTTAGCCGGCAAGTCATTGCACACCCAAAGTGAGACGAAACCCGCAGTGTGCTGATTAAAGCGCATAAACTCTGCCTCCGAGACACACCACCGTCTTTACCATCGAAGAAACGCAGGCACCTATCAACCACATCAAGGCGTTAGGCCCAGATGGAATATCCATGTAGATGCTGAAAAAGCTAGGACCTGCAGGAGTCGAGTACATTACCGCCACTTTCAACTTGTCTGTCCACCCTGATTATCCCCGAGATGTGGAAAATGGGTGGGCTCATTTTCATTCGAAAAATGCACAGCACAATAACAGCATTAAATACCATTACCACACACATTAACAAGGGTCTGAACAAACGTTATAGTACGGTCCTAGTCGCAGTAGACTTGTCGAAGGCATTCGACGCGGTGAACCACGCGACCATCTGCCTAGACGTCCATCGACAGACTTTGTTATCAAAAAAACCGACTATATCACCGATCTTTCCAATTTCTTCACTGCAAGGAGCCTCCAAATCTCCGCCGCCAAATCCACCGCCACACTCTACAACCTGGACCCCGAAGGTGAGGCTAGAACGACGATTTCGTCGATGGCGCCATAATACCGACGACTAATCACCCCAATATCCCGGTAGTGACGTTCGATAGCCTCTACTCCGCGCACGCCACAGTCACATGCAACAAACTTCGAGCCCGGAACAAAGTCCTTAAATCGATTAAGAAACGGTGACGATAAGCGATACGCAGTGGAGGAATCTCCAGAACGCAGCTCTACGTATGGCTACAGGTTGTCATCTCATGTCGTCCGAACATCACCTCCATGAAGAAAACCAGATGCTGGCGGTAAAAGAACACAACACGTGCGTTGGTACCGAGAGAACCACCCCAACAAGGCCCTGCTTCGAAATGAACCGCCCCACGACAGGTGAGACGACACCTGCACGACTAGAAGGCAGACATTGAGCCATAGGTAGACTATCCCTTCGACGCAGCAAGATACAGAGGGGCGCTCAACAGCGCAATGACAACATCGTCCTAGGCGGTCGACCGCCGCCCATAAACTTAGAGGAAACAGAACTGCCGAGAGAAACCAGTTGCACCCTAGCACAACTCCGTTCGGGGTAATGCCAACGACTCAACAGCTACCTCTCTCGGCTGAACAAGGGCAAGGTGCCCACGACACCCAGCACCTCTGCACCCTAACACCAGAAGCACTCTGGACCGCGCCCATCGACGCTGCCCGATTTCTCGGCCTCAGGCTTACAGAGTCGGAGGGTGAAGAGGACGATACATGGCAGAACCTGGGGGGTTAAGTACTGCTGCTACAACAACAACAACAACATAACATTTGTGCCCCTGGGCGGACACCACTAAATCAACAGTCAGTCAGTTAAATATCGCCCAAAAGCCAGTGGTCTAATTGTAGCCCAATTACATGTGTTTGAAAATTCTAAAAGTGCCCACCACTAGTTTAAACTCTTGTTAATAAAGTGCTCTGGATTCAAGTTTGCATTAACTTCCTGGGTGCAAATATAAAACCCTATGTTCCATTTCTAATACTTTTTCAGGTTACTAGGGGACATCACTATAAAAGTTGCAGCAAACGAAAAATATTTCCAAGCGAAAAAAAATTTAACTATAGAATCTGTTTTAGTAGTTAGGCCTTACAATTCTAAATTTCGAACGGTGGCTATCCAGTTCAATATACTAAGTATGTATATTCAATATTTATGTATTATTATATACACTAATGCACATAATATGTACATTATAAATTTATCAAATCAGAACAATTAAACATTTAAAAAAATTCCACATACACAACTGAATATTTTGACAAACCTTCAGCGTATCAATTCAGTTGAAACACACAAAAATTAAAAACAAAAACGGAAAGTAAAAATTCTAATCGTGCGGCATTTATGCACTAATTTTTCAATGAATTAATTTATCATATAGCACAATTTCTTATTCAAGACATTTCTTGTTTTTTTGTACTTATTATCACTTCAACCTTTGTGTTTTTGCTTTAAACCTAAATTTATTTCTTTGTTTTTACGTTTTTAACAGATTATTAGCATGTAATTGTTTACATATTAATACGTAAAGTATGTAATTAAGCAAACACTTGGGTGCTTAGTTCAATGGAAAATAAATTATTTATAATTATGTTTTATAAAGAAAACTACTTTGGATAAGCCCATATTGAAGGCACTAAATTTTGACAATCACTGGCTAATCGAAAGCAACATCAAAATTTTTACTGCGCAATTTATGCAGCATTTCTGAGCATCAGCAACATATCAAGAAAGCAACAAGGCTGTGCTGTAAATATTACGTAGCTCAGCACACCCAAACACCCACCCAGCAGTTTCGGGAATGCTGCTGAAATGACAGAAATACATATGGGTCAATCCGCTACCGCAGACCCGAGTGTCGATCGAACGATTAGATATTGGACCGTTGGGGTTGATACTGATGATGTCGACACCTAAGCCGGTTCTACGTACCGCTATGACTCGGGATTTACCCGACCAAGGGCTGTTGTTTCGGCGATCTAACCCGTTTAGGTCGGCGAAGTTTCTCAGAAGTTGTTCGTCCATATAGCTACATTTGTTACGTATTCTTCTGCTCAGAGCGGGCATCGAGTCAAATCCAGGGTCAGAAACCTACACCTGCTGTGTATGCCAGAGACGAGTACACCACAACTCCACCTCAGTCAAGTGCAATGCTTGCGACGGGTGGAGTCACCTCAGAGTCTGCTCAGGACTACGGACCCATCGACAGTGGACCACATCATTTGTGGCCCCCTGCTGATCAAACAGAGCAGCCTTCACGGCTAACCCCAGTCCACCTGAGCAGGTCAACACAAACACTATAACACAACAACACAATAGACCACACCGCAACCACGACAGACCACACAACAGTCACAACCGCACCCCCACCCACATGCCTCCTACAATATGCACAGTATGTCAGACCAGGATATTCCGTAATGTGACATTGGTCCAATGCAACACCTGCATTGGCTGGTGCCACTTTGGGGCTTGTTCAAGTCTGCGCACCATGCGAGATTGGACGAGGAACTGTGAGGGCCTGTGTTGCGCTGCTCGGTCGCATACCCAAACTGACCCGCCACCACAGGTCGGCAACCTCCACAGCA